GTGTGTGTGTGTGTGTGTGTGTGTGTGTGTGTGTGTGTGTGTAACAGGAATACATTTGACAGCTAGAGTATGGAAACCGCACCTTCACAGCCGATACTGGTAGCATATGCTCAATGAATACAACGCACATCTTACACTACAAAGCGTACCATGTAGCCCACACATGCGAATGCACACGTCCAGAGAAGTATTTAAACGTTCATAATCTCGCACCCAGAGATTATATAGCCAACTAATAGTGTAACACTTCAAACGTTAACCAGTGCACACATACCCCGTTGATCGTCCTTATTGTCCTTCCTCCTATAGAGCCCAGATGACCTGAGTTCTAAGTCGCTGTCGCTGTCGCTGTCGCTGTCGCTGTCGCTGCCCCTGTCAGCCCCCGTGCAGGTGTGTACGTGTGTCTCATTGTGCTTGCTCATCTCGTTGTGCTTGTACTGGTTCATCTCATTGTTCTTATTCTTGTCCACGTGCGTGTCCTGTGCATTGGTGTCACCAGCTAATGCGTGCTCCGCAGTCGTAGATGTTGTTTGTGACGTTTGTGTGCTCTGGGATTGTGTGGTTGATCCACTATGCCGCTCGTGCTCTGCACAGACCGCTTCCGTTGAGATGTGGTTGTCGTTGTTGTTGGTATGTACATCGGTGTCTTGGCTTGTGGGTGACTTTCTCTGACCATTTTTCTTCTTCTTTTGAGCCGCTTTCGTCATCGGAGCAGGCAGGTTGGGTGTGTTTCCGGCGATTTTGGCCTATACAACAAATATTGGGAAACAGAAAAATGAGTACATTTTAGTTAATGTTTGAGGGTTTATAGGGTACGTTTTAGTCGATGTTTTAGGGTTGTTAGGGTGCATTTTTAGTTTGTGTTTTTAGGGTTGTAGGGTAGTTTGTGAGTATTTGTGATTTCCTCTCCAGTGCAGACGAGGCGTTGAGAACCGATAGTCGCCCACCGGCCCACGCCACTCTGTGTACGCAAGCGAACACCCTCACTCACTCACTCACTCACATTCTGACTGACTGGCTGGCTGAGCAAAGGTTAAATAGATTGCTAAGGCATTGCTTTCGGGTGGCATGTTGCAATGACTACGAACGAGTCATCTTCAGAAGGCAGCACAGGACAAGAACAAAGGCAAACTAATTCCGAACTAATTCCGAACTAATTCTTAATTCGTAATTCACTGTGAGTTGCCCTAAGCTCTATAGGGCGGATCAAACTACCCGTTGGATTATTCATCACAACCTCGAGACAGTGCAGTCAGTCTTCTGGCAGGGTAAAGCTAATACGTACAACCCTTGTAAAGCATCAACCACATGTGTGCAAAAGAGACTACAGTTTGGCTGCCTGAGACAGTTGTCGAGGTATGATTGTGTGAGGCATACATCGTAGACACTCCGCCTGAGGCAAATGTTATGCTCCGAAAAGCACCACCACAGCTAACTCCGCACAACAGTGTCAGAGATGACTCTATCGTGTATGGTGACGTATGCTGTGCTGTGACAAGTGGCATATACTTCTGCACATATCATGATCTCTGTAGCTGCCTGTGTTTTGTTTGCTTGTTGGTGTTCTTGTCATTATATGAAACTCGACTTGTGCCATTTATCCATCCGGGAGTACTAACGAACCATGTTTGTATAGGGTTTTAGGGTTTCAATGCATTCACCCTTTTGCATGATAGTGTACAGTAGTGCTTGAGCCACAACAGAGCGGCATTGGCACTGTTCTATTTTCGAGGTGCAATCCAACGTGTTTAGGGTTTAGGGTATGTGCTTAGTCACTCACAACCTGATTAGCATAGACGATATACATGCGTAGCACGTATTACCTTCTTAGCACTGTTTTTCTGAGATGATTCCATTATGGCAGTAATGGAGGTAGTTGATTGGCGTTTCCTTCCGACTGTAGTGGCCATATGGTCGGCTGTGCTTGGCTGTGTTGGTTGAGCCTCCTCAACTGAGACGTAAGAAATGCGAACCTTCAGAAACCTTCAGGACACTCAGCCGCCAACAGTAGTCACACGTGCGAATGTTCGAGTGCTCCGGGATTAAGGCGTAATACGTTAACACCATGCACTAACAACTGAGGTACAGTCAACCTAGTCTGCTGTGCGTAATACGTTAACACCATGCACCAACAACTGAGGTACAGTCAACCTAGTCTGTTGTGCGAAATACGTTAACACCATGCACTAACAACTGAGATACAGTCATCATAGTCTGTTGTACGTAATACGTTAACTCGATGCACCAAAAACTGAGGAACAGCCAACCTAGTCTGTTGTAGTGGCATTGGTTTAATTTCGATATTTAATTTCGAAATGATATAGACATGCTGCGATCAAGTGCCACACAAAACATGTTCAAGGGTTTTAGGGTTTTAGGGTTTAGGGTTTTGTTCAAGCAGAAAATTTGAAACAAACCACCCAAAGAGCCAAACGGAGCCAAACTGAGCACTCGACAATAAACCACATTCCACCATCACAAGGCCAAAAAAAAACTCACGCAAATGAACATATGCGCAAGCACGCAAGGCAGATACATACGCACTGACTAATACCCCTGAGCAATCACATAAGAACACACACACGCACAAACTAATACCCCTGAGCAATCACATAAGAACACACACACGCACAGACAAATACCCCTGAGCAATCACATAAGAACACACACAAGCACAGACTAACACTCCTGAGCAATCACATAATAACACACCCACGCACAGACTAACACTCCTGAGCAATCACTTAAGAACACACACACGGACAAACCAATACCCCTGAGCAATCACATAAGAACACACACCGCACAGAATTCTTTTGGACTTATGAACTGATACCCTTAGCAATCACACACGGACATACACACATTCAACACAAACCACCTGTCCCCCGCACATCCACCCACGTGCACATACGTAGGAATGGTAGGGCCACCCCCGCTTCTTTGACCTCATCAGTGAGCTCTTCCAGTGCTTCTTTGAAGAAGGCTTTCTGTAGCGCTTTCTTGTTGTTGGCGTACGTTGCATACTCAGCGCAGTCGATTGGTTTCAAGTTTTTGATGGAGACCTTATCACTGATATATTGGATGATGCAAACCCGAGAGAAAAGTGGGATTGTGAGCAACTGGATTAGCCCAGATGTGAATATGAACAGAACATAAAAAAGGCATAAAGTGTACACGAGGGCTCATTGTGGTGACATACATGCATACATTTATAAAAACATACATACAGAAAGGCATCCTTCATAGATACACACATATACATCA